GCTTAAGCTTAGGGCCGAAGCCAAAGTGAAGCGACTCGGCCTCAATTTGGGATGAGAACTGGGGATGACTGGGCGATGAGGACACATTTTAGCACGCGAGAAAAGGTAGCTTTTGGAGGGTTGGTTGAGCAAAAATATCAAAGTGTGGAAAAGAGTACAAAAAATGGGAGACACCGGTATCGAGGGCGAGGGTTTAGGGTACAAAGCGGAACAACCAACAACGTTTCTTTGGGCTGAAAAGAGCGGATAACGATTTCTGGGGGCTTGTGAGTGGAATTTCATCGCGTTACGTCATTCCCGGTACTGGTGCGTTAGCGGGGGGACGATGAGATAAAGTCTGTTCAATTACCTTTAAACTGCCCTCACAAGCCCCCTGCTTAAATTACTACCAATATACAGGACTACTTGCTACAAAACGATACACCGTATTACTTGGCGGCAATGTTGTGGACGCCGTTGGAGTTGTTGATGGATTTGAGGTGCTGGGCGGGCTGGGGCGGGGGCACAGAGTCGGACTTGACGACGACGCTCGGCCGCGTCTGAGCGGAAGCCGCCGGCGCCTCGGTGCGCGTCTTGCAATGCGGGGGGCTGGCACGGCCGTTGACACCCGGTTGTCGACGTTCAAGTGGGCGTTTTTGGAGCGGCGCCACCGGGCCGTTGGTGCCCTGGCTTGGCTTGGCCTTTAGGGGGCCGTTTGAAGTCGGCTTGGCTGGAGTAGATTGAATTGGCTGACTTGGTGGCTTCGCCGGGCCGTTACCCAGTTTCTTAGCAGACGGAACGGTTTTTTGGCCGTTGGTGAGCGGGGCCTTTGGCTGGGTAGGGCCGTTTGAAGTCGGCTTCGCCGTGTTGCTGGGCAGGCTTGGCTTCTTGCCGGGTTGGCTTGTGGGCGCGATTTCCGGTCGGGCGGGCACATTCGGCTTTAGGCTTGGTCTTGGCGGTTGACTTTTTTCGCGGGAGCCGGACTTTGTGGCGCGGGCGGGCGGGCTGGGCATGTTCACGCTTCCGGGGACGCCGTTCAGATCTGAACGGAGGGTTTCGTTGAACAATTTATAGCTTTAAAGTTTATCAGACGAGCGTTTTGCATCGAACATACCAAATTCGTAGCCCGGAAACTGTTGATGCGTGACGGGTTGCCGAACGTGTTGGGGTTGGTCTTCGGGTGGATGCATGGCCGAGCGCACCGGGCTGGTGATGACGGAAAGCGGATGGCCCATCGATGGTTGCATCATCGCAAGCGGCTAGAGAAATGGCTTTAGTTAGAGACAGAGATAGAAAGAGAGAGAGAGAGAGAGAGAGAGAGAACGAGAGAGATAGCGAGAGAGACAGTTTTCCCATAATCCCTTACCGATGCGCCGTAGCTGATCGTCGGGCTGATCATCGGGCTTCCATACGGCGACGTCGACTCGAACCCGTTGTACTGCCCATGTGCACCGTACATTGGCGAGTAGGCAGGGCCCGGGGGCCATTTGGTGGTGGCCATAGGAGTGTGTCGGTGGCGTATAGCAGGGTTGCATCGGCGAGACGGCGGGGTGAGCGTAGGAGTGTGACATTGGCTGAGGCTGAAAAATTATGTATTTTTGATAAAAATTAATTTTAGAATTCAAGAGTCTAAAATTTTTCTAGCTAAATATAGCTCAAAGAATCAAAAAAGCGGATCACCGCTTAGGCGAAAGCATTTCTAGTCTACGTCAACTTCAAGCAGCACACTGCTAACCACGAAATTTCGTTATTTTTTCTAATTTTTTTACTTAAAATAGCTTTTATCGCGAATACCTCAACACCCACCTGGCCATATTGATGTTGTAATTGATACCCAACGGGTCCCGGCTGCTGGAAGTGCCGGGGAACACCATGAGCATCACTACCATATTGGGGCACATGGCCAAGATAGGAGGCCATTCTCTGCCGGGCCCATTCATTCTGAGGCACCGCTTCCTCGTGCTCAATCCTGTCATGGGCAGTGCTGGGTTGTGGCGGGGTTCTCCTCCTCCGTTCCCTCGGCTTCCCGACAAGGCTTTTTTGGTCCTCCTCGATTTTGGCGAGTCTCCGCTCGAAGCGCCGCAGATATTCTTCGGGAACGCTCTTGACTGCCTCGTGCTGTCCGCTGACAATCTCCTCGAGCGCCTTGCGGAAATCGACATTTGGAAGGGGGCGGATGGGCCGTTGTTGGGCGGTGGTTGGCGTTGGGGTCGGCTTGCTGGCTTTGACAGGCTCAACCGGGGTCGGCTTGGCTTGGTGCGCCCCGTTTTTATGGGTTTCCGCGGATGTCGATGGGAGTTGGACGTCGTCTAAAAGATAAAATAGGTTTTAGAAGCCTATATGTTCTTTTTTTCTGTATTTTCAGTACCTTTGCCTTATCGGGGGGGACAGAATTTTTCCTATAATTCCAGAAATATCTAGCAACATAATGGTGGGTATTTTAAGTGTTTTTAGGATACTTTAACGATATTTCAAGTGAAAACCGTCAAAAAGAATTTAGTTGAAATTTTGGTCGAGAATCAGTCACTTTTTGTCGGAAATATTTCACGTCTGTGATCCATAAAAATAGCTTTGAAATACTTGCTCTATTTATCTGAGAAAAATTGGAAAAATCAGAAAATGAAAAGAGGTTGTTTCCCCCCATCCGCCTCCGATAATGCCAGAGAACCTATATTTTATGTCTTTTAATACACATTTTTATGACTTTTTCGATCATTGCAAAGGTATACGTACCATTCGATTTTCCTGCACCTCTCGATGCAACGATATCCGAGCCAACAGCCTCCTGAAAAATTTTTGTTTTGTTTTTCTTTGATTTTCGCTAGTCGATTGAAAAAATTTTCATTATTATTTTTTTCTCCCTATAATCCTACAAACCTGTTCATCCTGCTCGGATCCTCCATCCGACAGAGATTCCGACGAAACTGGGCTGTCCTCGTAGCTCTCCGTCTCTGATTGGCATACCCGTGGCTCGACGTGCGTAATCCTGCAAAAGCGTTGTTTTGTTTTACTGAACGAAAATAAATCGTTGTCCTGCATGTTTGGCTAATTCTTAACGAAAACACTTACCTCGGCTTGTGAAGCGGCTGCCCCGTCGTTGTCGGCTTCATCGCCACGAAGCTCGGCGCGCACGGCTTCATCGCGATGAACTGGCGCTTGGAGGGGGAGGCCCTGGAATTGGCAGTGTCAGATGGGTTAAAGAAGCCACAAAAACTGCATTTTCGGCGCAAAAAAAACTACAAATTAGTGGCTAGTCGCCAAAAACTGACTTTACAAACGGCTCGGCGGGCTGTGCCTCGTGGCCAGTCTGTGGCGAATCATTGGTGGGCTCTTGGGATACGGCCGAGACGATGCGTGCCGACTCGCCCGACTCCAATCGATCCGATATCGACAGCTCGCGCCTAGAATGGGAAATGATATGTATGCGAGGGGGTGGGATGGTGCTTACAATTGCCGTGTCCGATCCGTCAGCCCGATTGGCGGTGGGGAACTCGAGTCGGCGGTCTGAAAATGTTTCTTGGTGATTGATACTGTAACTTTTGGTAGTTTTTTGAAGATGCTAATCTTTCATAACCCACTGTTCCGTAGATTTCTGCATCGGGGATCGGCCGCGACTCGCTGACCCACGAGGAAACCATTCCGCCCTTCTCGGCGGCCCAGTTTGCCAGATAGGCGCGTTCCTCTTCCTCGGGGGTTGGCGTGGCCGGTCTCGGCACCCACGGCATCATTCGCTGCTCCATCTCGACGCTCATTTTCAGGCTCTGAAATCAGAAAAATATGTATAATTATCGTTGCAACAGATTTCTTTCACAATTAGTTTTTTATTTTTCCTTATACGTAAAATAACGTCCTAGTCACTATTCTAAAAGTCCTTTAAGTAAAATTTAGCCCATTTCAAGCGAAAAACCTATTCGAAAACTTTAAAAACTGTTTAGAAATTTGAAATTTCGGTTGTAGATCCATATTTTTGTATTTTTAAGAATTTTTGCTACATTTTTACGTTCAGAAATGGTCAGAAATCGTCTAGAAACACTTCCCCTATGAATTGGCAGATTTGAATTTGGATTCCCGGAGTACCAAAGAACTTTCTCGCAACAATTTTTTTGCAACCTACCGTCGCAATCCGCGCGTAATCCTGGCGTCGCTCCGGCTGGTCGCCCCGTAGATGATCAGGCTTGATCAAGTCGGAAAGTGGATGTAGCGAAGTGGCCTTTCCGCCTTCGAGCTCGGCCTTCACCACAGTGTTCACTATGTCCTGGACAATGTCGTCGAGTTCCGTGCTCGGCGTCGGCATCTCGAACGGTTCCTTCTCGTGCTCATAACGCCCGTCTCGATTCGTGATTTCTGTAAAAAAACACATGAATTTCCACGGGAATTTCATACTTGGCGGCTTATCGTTGGAGTCAGGGAAGCCATCCTCGGCCGTCTCCTGTTTTCGTCTCAACAGCCCACGGATACCCTCGTAGGTGACACCACAGTATTTTCGAGGGCCTTCGGCTTGCTGGAATTAAGGTATATGTGTTCGGCCTGTTCATCTACAGGTGTCGAAAGCATACCAAAAAGTTCGCCTTGCACGTGCAAATATTTTGATATACTTTACAGCTCCGTAGTAAGTAGTGTGACGATACCAAACAATTCTCTTGAAGCCACGCACCATAAGAAACTGTTCGTCGTCGATGACGTCGTCCTCGTAGTCCTCGAGATCCGAGTCGGCGCCAGTGTCCGGTTGCCACTCCTTCGAGGGGAGTGCTGGCCGGTAGAGTTGGACGACGTCGTTGGGAGTGACCTGGAAAATGGGAAATGTTTTTGACTAATTTTGAAAGCTTAAAGGGTTTTTAAAGTCCAGCTAAAAAGCGTGATCCAAGCACAGTGGGGCAGAGAGAGAGAGAGAGAGAGAGAGAGAGAGAGAGAGAGAAACCGCATATCCCCAGCCGCCTGACGTTTTTTGCATTTCTTACTTAAGCCGAAGGGCTTTTGAAAAGGGGAAATCGACACGGGGCCAGAGCGGGGCTCGACGCGCCATGATTCTAGGGCGGAAATTGCGGGTTGAATGGGAAGAGATTCCGGAAAATCGAGGTAGGAGATGATGCAAGCCGGTATTACAGCGCTTAAAAATCGGCACATTTTCTCGTACGATCCGATACCCTGAAATTGCACGATATACACCTCTGTACAGACTGTGTAGTCTGTCTATACCCTGTGCGCTTTATGCAGGACGGTATATACCCAAGATCAGTATATCGCTCTAACACGGAGACGTTTTTTTAGTGAAAAGGATTTTCCACCTGGGACCGAGCCTGTCTTGTGCAGAATTTTGTGCTCATTCCGATACTTGTTTCAAAATCTGCAAAATGGCCAGTTTAAAGAAGCTATGAAGCTTTTTCAGTGGGAAAAAGGCGAAAAATTTCTCGAAATTCGACCGGTTTGGGCAATTTTCGTCCTTAAAACCTGCATAATTTTCTAATCTGGCCTTTCCACCATTTTGAGAATAGCACCGGAATTAGCGGAAAATTCTACCCAATATAGGCATGGTCCTGTGTGGAAATCCGATTGTTTTTTTTTTACGAAATGGCAACCCCGCCGGCATCTATGAATAGAATGCGATCGCGGGCGAGAGGTTAGAGATGCCGGAAAAACAACAAATTTCCTCGGCGACCCCCGGGGTGGCTTCTCACAGACAGTCGATATTGATGATAGATCGGGGGCCTAGAAGAGATTGCCGTGATTCTGACGAGGATCACGAGGGTGGAGCCTGAGGGAGGGCGGAGAGGAGGAGCCAAATGGTGAGACATTAATTCAGCGGGTCGACGATCGATCGTCGCCATGGGCTCTCGTGTCTTTGTGCCCCGGGTTTACAGGTCCATTCGGTCTTATACTATTCGGGGCCTTATGCTATTTGGGATGTGTTTTCCCATCTACGTTACATCCGTTCCCTTATGCAAAAAACACCCCCATGTTTCCCATGACCAAACGTTTTTGAGAGCGCGCGGGTTAGGCTGAAAGGCACCGGGATTCTCATTAATTTGTAGCCGCCAAAAAGGGCCATTTCGGTGCAAGTTTAGGAAATTTGCGGGATAACATAAAAAATGAAAATTCTCAAAGTCTTCTTTTCAAAACTTGGTTTGCAAAAAAATTCTTTTTTCATTATCAGGGGCGAAACTAGTTTTTTCGCTAGCATCCAATTTTTCTAATATAAGTAGAGAAAATGCTTCCAAACGGTATTTTACTGTACTCCAACCGCAAAAATTCACAAATTTTCGATACAACATCAAAACTAAAATCTCGATTTTTAGACCAAAATGTCGACTTTTTAATGTCCTTGGATGATTTTTCCACTTGAAATCCAGTAAAATTTTACTAAAAACACTATTAAAATACTTATTACGTTCCTAGGCATTTCTTACTTCCTGTCACTTCCCCGTGACGTTCACGGTTACCTAACCTTACAACTTCCCCAAATAACTATAATTAAACGCGCTGCGAGCAGCCTCCCTTCTTCCGGCCATCCCAGAAGCCCGCAGAGCCGTGCGGATGGACCGTGTTCCCCGTCTCTTCTCTATGGGCGTCTCCGCGATCCAGGGCCACAACATCGTGTTCAAGTACAAGCCCTCGTCCACCGACGTTCGCATGTCCACTTTGCATGCGGTTCCGCGGCATCCGGAAGGCGACCCTGTATTCCCTCCGTTCCCGACTATATAAACGCCCGTCTTCTGCCTCTCTTCAAGTCGAGAGTCGTGTCCAGTCGACGTCATCATCTCCGTCTTCCCGGGCTCCAGCTAGCTTTCGCCACCGCGAAGCTACGTCCGATTCCCGGCCTCTGCTCGCCTTCATCGCCGCCGTGTTCTTCGCCATCGCCTTCGCGCCGCCCCAATCCCCGTTCCCGTTTTTGCTGTGTATTCATAAAAGGGTACCCCACCGGGACCCTTGAATAAATCGTCCCACAGATCCCCGTCTTTTGCTCTCCCCGGCTATCGAGTGCGCAAATTATTGTCACTGGTGTGACAAAGTGGTGCCCCGAGCGGATCACTGGCCCTTTCCCCGCCTTTTGTTTTGATGTTCATCCCAATTCTCCTAGTCCCCTACGGTTCGATCCGTGTTTTTGACGTGATGCAGCGCCAGAGTCGCGATCTGCCCGTCCATAACCTCCCTCCAAATTTCGACCCTGTCCCGATCCACATTTTCGCCTCCAATATACCCGGCAGTGCCTTCCCGCAAGGGAATGGCCCGAACCGACCCAATATACCCGGCAGTGTCTTCCCGCAAGGGAATGACCCGTACCGACCCAATATACCTGGCAGTGCCTATCCTTCGGGATACGGCCCGTACCGTCCCAAATACCAACAAGTCCACCCTCCGGGGTTCAATATACCAGATGAAAGAATGAAATCAATGACTAATTTCGGAAATCACGAACAAGAGCCTATGCCCAACCCTAAATTCCCAATACGATACCGAATATCCCATACCCACAAATGGCTGAGGACCACAATATGGCTGAGGGCCATGCCCACATGTTTACAAATCGTTCCAACATATCAGGTTACATTCAAATCGCCGAATTGAAATTATCTAGATTAATTAAATATCTCAAAAGCGAAGTCATTCCCATATGTGAACTGATTCTTCGATCTGATATTGGCTCATTGAAGGTCACCCAAAATGAATATATGGAACTGCTAGAAACCACGATCGAGCAAATTGATGAAAATTATAAGCAAACGACTAAATTCGTTTTTCAACATTTTACGATCCTCGATGACCTTTCGAGTTGTGTCGAACTCGTTGATGTTGAAGACCAAATACTACAATTAAAGGAAATTCTCGAAGTCAGACTTCAGAATATTCCGGGATATAATCAGTGTGAACGTCACCTCCAGAAAAATTGGCACTCATCCGTCAGAAAAATCGCTCGAACTCCACAGTACCACCGACACAAGACGAGAACTCGCCGATACCGAAAGAGCAAATCGATAATCAACTTGAAGACAAGAACAAACCCTATGGAACAATCGAGCTACAAGCGAGCAACAACGCAAACGACCGCATCCTGAATCCCAGCCAACATCCGACGCTCAGCGACGGCAAACTGAAGCACCAACTACCGCCGGAAATGACCATGGTCAGCAACAAACCGCTGAATCAGATACACCGAAGGAGTAAGCTCGAAAAATGGTTGCCGGGAAACGTTGGTCCAAAGGAACCGAAAAACTGCGGAAAGGCTCCAAATATCACGAGCGAAAGCGTGCACGAAGCCGCAAAAAGTGTTTCATGTTCCCAGGACCCAAGCTGCGATCGAAATTTGCAACTGGCCGGATCACCCCTATCATCTATGCGCTACAACGGATCCAAGCCTTCCCAAGCACTGGAATGGCCTACCGTGTCTGGGACCCCGGAGGACTTTAAACAGCTAAACCACCAATAGTCGCAAGATCATCCCAATACCAATATAATGCAATGCAATATTGAGATCTCCATCAAACAGCAATATTATCCAATAAAATATTCAAATCAAAAATCTCAATCCACTATTCACATTAAAACCTAATTCAATTCAATATTATGCAATGCCATATATGCAAACCTCAAAAGTCAACGACTACCCAAGCCTACATTATCCTTTCCGCACACGGTGAACACCAACATTCGTCAACACCCAGAATAATCCAAGCGCAGTTTCACAACCTATCCCACTAGAAACGCTACACAAACCGATAATCCAACCACCAAAGGTTAAAAAAAAGCCACGCACCAAAACGAAACGATTAATTTATTGGCAACTATATGGCAAATGATCCAAACGAATGGTAAAAAATTAAATCAAAGCTTCAAGTTAATGCATTATGGTGCTCCTCTCCGGCTGCGGCTTTAAGACCGTAAGGTCCATTTCTCGCCCCCGGGAGGGCATCGCGCCCAAATTGCGGCGCAATGCAAAATCACAAACTCGCATCTAAACATTCAAATCCAAATCTCTTATTCAAACTCTCGTCCCCCGGGAGTGTCACGTCCCCGTGACGTTCACGGTTACCTAACCTTACAACTTCCCCAAATAACTATAATTAATACGCTGCTGCGAGCAGCCTTCTCCTTCTTCCGGCCATCCTCAGAAGCCCGCAGAGCCGTGCGGATGGACCGTGTTCCCCGTCTCTTCTCTATGGGCGTCTCCGCGATCCAGGGCCACAACATCGTGTCAAGTAAAGCCCTCGTCCACCAACGTTCGCATGCCCACTTTGAATGTGGCTCCGGGCATCCGGAAGGCGTCCCTGTATTCCCTCCGTTCCCGACTATATAAACGCCCGTCTTCTGCCTCTCTTCAAGTCGAGAGTCGTGTCCAGTCGACGTCATCATCTCCGTCTTCCCGGGCTCCAGCTAGCTGTTCGCCACCGCGAAGCTACGTCTGATTCCCGGCCTTCTGCTCGCCTTCATCGCCGCCGTGTTCTTCGCCATCGCCTTCGTCGCCTTTGCCCCAATCCCCGTTCCCCGTTTTTGCTGTGTATTCATAAAAGGGTACCCCACCGGGACCCTTGAATAAATCGTCCCAAAGTTCCCCGTCTTTTGCTCTCCCAGGCTATCGAGTGCGCAAATTATTGTCACAGTCGTGACAAAGTGGTGCCCCGAGCGGATCACTGGCCCTTTCCCCCGCCTTTTGTTTTGATGTTCATCCCAATTCTCCTAGTCCCCTACGGTTCGATCCGTGTTTTTTGACGTGATGCAGCGCCAGAGTCGCGATCTGCCCGTCCATAACCTCCCTCCAAATTTCGACCCTGTCCCGATCCACATTTTCGCCTCCAATATACCCGGCAGTGCCTTCCCGCAAGGGAATGGCCCGAACCGACCCAATATACCCGGCAGTGTCTTCCCGCAAGGGAATGACCCGTACCGACCCAATATACCTGGCAGTGCCTATCCTTCGGGATACGGCCCGTACCGTCCCAAATACCAACAAGTCCACCCTCCGGGGTTCAATATACCAGATGAAAGAATGAAATCAATGACTAATTTCGGAAATCACGAACAAGAGCCTACGTGCTCAACCCAAATTCCCAATACGATACCGAATATCCCATACCCACAAATGGCTGAGGACCACAATATGGCTGAGGGCCATGCCCACATGTTTACAAATCGTTCCAACATATCAGGTTACATTCAAATCGCCGAATTGAAATTATCTAGATTAATTAAATATCTCAAAAGCGAAGTCATTCCCATATGTGAACTGATTCTTCGATCTGATATTGGCTCATTGAAGGTCACCCAAAATGAATATATGGAACTGCTAGAAACCACGATCGAGCAAATTGATGAAAATTATAAGCAAACGACTAAATTCGTTTTTCAACATTTTACGATCCTCGATGACCTTTCGAGTTGTGTCGAACTCGTTGATGTTGAAGACCAAATACTACAATTAAAGGAAATTCTCGAAGTCAGACTTCAGAATATTCCGGGATATAATCAGTGTGAACGTCACCTCCAGAAAAAATTGGCACTCATCCGTCAGAAAAATCGCTCGAACTCCACAGTACCACCGACACAAGACGAGAACTCGACGATACCGAAAGAGCAAATCGATAATCAACTTGAAGACAAGAACAAACCCTATGGAACAATCGAGCTACAAGCGAGCAACAACGCAAACGACCGCATCCTGAATCCCAGCCAACATCCGACGCTCAGCGACGGCAAACTGAAGCACCAACTACCGCCGGAAATGACCATGGTCAGCAACAAACCGCTGAATCAGATACACCGAAGGAGTAAGCTCGAAAAAATGGTTGCCGGGAAACGTTGGTCCAAAGGAACCGAAAAACTGCGGAAAGGCTCCAAATATCACGAGCGAAAGCGTGCACGAAGCCGCAAAAAGTGTTTCATGTTCCCAGGACCCAAGCTGCGATCGAAATTTGCAACTGGCCGGATCACCCCTATCATCTATGCGCTACAACGGATCCAAGCCTTCCCAAGCACTGGAATGGCCTACCGTGTCTGGGACCCCGGAGGACTTTAAACAGCTAAACCACCAATAGTCGCAAGATCATCCCAATACCAATATAATGCAATGCAATATTGAGATCTCAACTCAAACAGCAATATTATCCAATAAAATATTCAAATCAAAAATCTCAATCCACTATTCACATTAAAACCTAATTCAATTCAATATTATGCAATGCCATATATGCAAACCTCAAAAGTCAATGACTACTCCAAGCCTACATTATCCTTTTCCGCACACGGTGAACACCAACATTCGTCAACACTCCAGAATAATCCAAAGCGCAGTTTCACAACCTATCCCACTAGAAACGCTACACAAACCGATAATCCAACCACCAAAGGTTAAAAAAAAAAAGCCACGCGACCAAAACGAAACGATTAATTTATTGGCAACTATATGGCAAATGATCCAAACGAATGGTAAAAAATTAAATCAAAGCTTCAAGTTAATGCATTATGGTGCTCCTCTCCGGCTGCGGCTTTAAGACCGTAAGGTCCATTTCTCGCCCCCGGGAGGGCATCGCGCCCAAATTGCGGCGCAATGCAAAATTCACAAACTCGCATCTAAACATTCAAATTCAAATCTCTTATTCAAACTCTCGTCCCCCGGGAGTGTCACGTCCCCGTGACGCTCACGGTTAAATAACCTTACAACTTCCCCAAATCCCAACTATAATTAATACGCTGCTCGTGCGGCCTTCTCCTTCTTCCGGCCATCCTCACCCGCAGGCCGTGCGGATGGACCGTGTTCCCCGTCTCTTCTCTTGGGCGTCTCCGCGATCCAAGGGCCACAACATCGTGTCAAGTGAGAGCCCTCGTCCACCGACGTCTACATGCCACTTTGAATGTGGCTCCGCGACATCCGGAAGCTGTCCCTGTATTCCCTCCGTTCCCGACTATATAAACGCCCGTCTTCTGCCTCTCTTCAAGTCGAGGTCGTGTCCAGTCAAGCGACGTCATCATCTCCGTCTTCCCGGGCTCCAGCTAGCTGTTCGCCACCGCGAAGCTACGTCTGATTCCCGGCCTTCTGCTCGCCTTCATCGCCGCCGTGTTCTTCGCCATCGCCTTCGTCGCCTTTGCCCCAATCCCCGTTCCCCGTTTTTTGCTGTGTATTCATAAAAGGGTACCCCACCGGGACCCTTGAATAAATCGTCCCAAAGATCCCCGTCTTTTGCTCTCCCCGGCTATCGAGTGCGCAAATTATTGTCACTGGTGTGACACTTCCCCCACCCCTGATATTGTAAAAATATCAGTTTACAGGGTGGCCCGAAAGAGTGGTGACCGAACTTTTTCGGTTTCTGAAAATATAGATCGAGGAAAGCTCATTTTAGCAATTATATTCCTTAAACAATTATCTTCCACATGGTATAACCACATTTTTATTTGTTTGCCTCAAACTCGGAAAAACTGGCGCGGAAGCGGATGGAAAACGGAGGTGCTGGCACGCAGACCCAGCCCGAATTTGGCTCATAACTCGATGAAGACTTTCGCGAGCGAACCCAAAATTGAATCGGGAGTAGCCGAGACTTTGGCCTTTCAGACCGGCTACACAAAAAATTCTGCGGGTTCGGGTTGGGACTCGGATCGCTCTTTTGGCGAGCAAAAAACGGTTTGGTCAAAACCCTTAATAACGGGCCTCAGTCACTTGACCAAGTTGGAGGGTTCTGAGCCATAGCTGCACAGAGCTTCACCGGAAACGTCAGGCACGCTCGTTAAAGAAATGGAAAAGGCATCGTTAAGTATTTTCTTCCACAGGAATCTATTTTAGATTTTGTCGCTTTCAAAAAATCCACGACTTTGAATTATGGAATTAAACTCCTAATGCAAAAGCTAGACTGCGTTGTACGCTGAGCGTATGCTCAAATTTAGCCAACATCCATAGGAAACCGAATCCATAACCCCGCCTTGCCCAAACCCATAAGGGAACAGAGAAATTCTGTGTGCAAGCTGCGGTCACCACTCTTTCAGGCCACCCTGTATTTTTAAGATACTTCTTTTATCCATTTACCTAACTTATTGTATCCGTGAAGTAATCATAAAGAAAACGAAAAATACTCTTTTGCTAATTTTTTCGAAAAAAACGTTAGAAGGCATCAAATCCTCTACATTCTAACGTTAGACCATTCCAAGAGAGTTAAAAACAAAATTACAGCCTCAAGGAACCCTAGCAAATCAAAAGTGGCAGGCCAAAATCCACGAAATACATCCCAAGCCGAGCCGTAGGTGTCAAGCGCCCAGAATGGTGGCAGGAGCCCAATTTCACCGGGTGAACCGGAGCCGGAAATTGATCGTCACGTTGCCGGGGCTACAGCCGGACTTTGGACTCCCATTAGCCGTCTAATCGGCGCTGCGGAGTTGGATAATCTGGCCGTAGCGGGGGCCCTTCGCGGGCACCTGGCCAACCCGAATCTCACCCCCGCCCAT